GGTTACAGCTAAATAATCTTTATTGGCAACGGCAGACCAAATATCTGCCGTTAACGTAACGCACCTGCTAGTCGAGTGTAAAAGGTTTATTAATGCTTCTTTTTCTTTTTTAAATAATTTTAATAAATCTTTCCTAAGAGTAGTTTTTGAAGTGACCTGTGCATTAGGATTATGTACAACCTTAATATATCGTTGCCAATTAGGATGCTCTACAAAACTAAGTGGTTGATCTAAAGCAGCTATCATTCGCGCAACTTCCATACGATCTACTTGTGGATCGTATTTCTAAGTGGTTAGACCACCGATTGCGCAATCAAAAGATAATTGTGTTTGGCGGAGTTCGGGTCTGCCGGATTGGCTAAGCTTTTGAAGACACTTTTCGGAGTGTCGTCTCAAGTGTGTAGTGCCGTGAATAGTGTCACCTTGTAATTTAGATAAATAATATTTACACTGAGCTATATGTTTAGTGTTACCTTCATTGTCCATCTCGTCAATTATGTCGCAATGATCCTAAACTATCGAGGTACGCTTGCATTTCCTCCTAGTAGTTGCAACACTTGCCGACGCAGACGCAGTCACACTTGCACTCGCCGCTTCTCCACGCCCACCACTATTGCGACCACGACCTCCAGTACGTCCACCAAGGCTCGGATTAGTAGATTCCTGCGTAACAAACTTATTAGTGGGAAATTACCCTTATTCTACGTTGTGTTAGGCATCAACAGGAATACCACTATAACCAAAAGGATCCATTATAAAAAAATAAGAGCGATTTGAGAGAGATATAGCTTTAGGATAATGTGATAGTTTTTAGAAAAATTGTGAGACAGATTGAGAGAGATTGAGAGAAATTGAGAGGGATTGAGAGAGTTTGAGTGAGAAAAATGTGTGGGGGATGGGGGGTATTTATAGGGAAATTTGAGGGTTAAAAAATTGATATTTTTTCAAAAAAATCGGGATGCAACGGCTATTTTTGATTCGGCGGGTTTAGGTAGAATTCGGGCGAAAATTCAAAAAACTAGCCGTTGGACAGGTAATTCGGGCGGGTTCGGGCAGAAAATCGGGTCGAAATTCAAAACACTAGCCGTTGGACGGGTAAATCGGGCATTTGGGTTTTCGAGCTTCAAGTTGGGTCAGGCTCCAACGGTCAAAATTTGACCTTTTTCGGGCATTCTTCGGTTCGGATAATTCGGGCTTGGTCAGAAAAATTCAAAAAAATTCCGGCAGACAACGGTAAGCGGCGACTATACGGCGGCGGGCTCCGGAGTTAATTCTAAATTCGGACTGCCCGAGCCCGAAAATAAAGCTTGGATGGGCCGGCAATTGGGCCAACCCGCCCAAACCCAAAAAATTCGGGCCGGCCCGCCGACCCGAAGTTCCAACACTATACGCAAAGAAAAAAGCATCTAGAAAAAGTATTAGGAATTTTTGGAGAGCCACGACACTTTTGGAAACGTTGGAACTTGGAGGGCTGGCCTAATTATTAGGTATTACCGATTTATAGATAAAAAAAATTATTAAATACTTTTAAAAAATATATATATTCAAACATGTAATTTATTAATTGAAATTGATTAATTATTAATTGATATTAATTATAAATAATGAAAAATTATCGAGTTAATCAGTAAAAAATTTAAGTCAATCATTGATTGACTGTAATCAGTTAGTAGACGTTTGGTTCGTGGATTCAGAACCATTGATTCAGAATCATTCTCATTTTACATGTGTATTTTGTGAGAGAAAAATACTGTAGAAAATCATGAATCATAATTCAGAAAATGAATACAGGAAACAAACAGATAAATTAATCAATCAACGATTGATTACTACTAAATTAATTTGTGATTGACCATTAAGTTAATAAAAAAAATGAATGTTTTGCTCATTTTACAAAACTTCAATTATTTTTAAAAAAAATTCTAAAAAAGCCATATATGTTAGTGTCCTTTTATTTTTATTCTTATTCTCATTTTCTTTAAGCGCATTTGTTTTTTTAGGATCAAAATTGATTATTGATTGAAAATATTAAAGCCTGCATGAAATCTAAATCTCGAGGTATAAATGTAATACAATACAAAATACCTGAAAAAAAAATTTTGATTATCCTAAGATGCTGGATATAAAAATGAAAAAAAAAAAAAAAACTTTATCAGAAGCTACTGTAAGATAAAAATAAATAAAACAAAAAACGACAATGATCAACGACGTTCTACAATAAACGACAATTAATTCAGATGACAAAAAAAAGTCCTACAATGGATTTTTTTTTTTTTTTTTTTGGCAATGCTGCAAATGAAAGTTTAAACAGCAAAACAAGAGTTTTTTTCAATTACGACATCAACTAATAAAACCGACAATAAATATATATCACATATGAGAACTCAGACATAATATAGGGGGGAAAAACAGAGAGAGAAGTTGAGTTGTACTCTTTTGAAATAATAAAAGATGCAAAAATTATTAACAAAATTATTGACTTAAATCTGAGCTTGGTTCATGGATTAGAATCATAAGATTAGAACTATTTTTAATTTACGTGTATTTTTTATGAGAAAAAACACTATAGCGAATTACGAATCATGATTCGAATCAGGATACGAATGACCCAACCAAACAACTCCACGTCCACAACACACACAACCACACACACATATACATATATGTAGACAAATGATCGACAGTGGTAGCATCCAATAGTGTCGTTCCAATATACGAAATAAGAAACGCCTCCACGGCTGCATATTTGATCATGTCGTTTGTAAGACGTAGAGGATACCACGGCCTCCACCTGGAATCACACCACTTTATCTTAACGGGTTTCACGTAGTCCCCTTCTTCTCCTACCACCACCCTCGCCAGCCTCGCCAAACCAAAACGGCTGAAATCTCTCGTCGTTTGAATCTGACCATCCGCATCATTTTTTATTCCCATACTGCCCCTCTGGGCCGCCAAGTCTTGCAGCTCCACCGCATTGTTGGGCCTGGTCCAACGGTAGTCCTTCTCCATCTTTTTACCAAACTTGTCTATTCCGATGCCGATCGACCACCGTCACTCCGCCGCCGCGGAGAAAGTCCTTCAGCGCTTTAGGGAACCACTTGTCGCCATAATTCCAATTACAATCTGAGGAGTTCATGGTACATGTTGTCAAAAAATAAAAACCGGTCGTCAGAAAGTTTTTTTTTTTTGTTTTTTTTTTGTTTTGAAGATGGTCATCAGAAAGTTTTCTATATTTCAATGCATAGGTTTGAACAAAAATTTTAAACAGAATTTTAAAAAAAAGACTAATAAAAAGAGTTGAATTGTAATTCAAATCAACGAAACAATTGAGTAAAGATAATTGTTGATTTTTTTTTTTTTAACAATTGAGTAAAGATAATTGTTTTTTTTTTCTTTAGTAGAAGATATTTACGGAGTTTGTTGATTAGGGATAGATAACTTCTCAATTAAAAAAATATAAAAAA